TTTTTTTTTTTTTTTTTTTTTTTTTTTTGCAGAAGCCTATAATAGACCGGCTTGGTGAAGCTTATGAGAACCCTGCAAAGGTTGTTGCTTACATCTTGTATCGAATAAAACAGATCAATGCAACAACTGTTTCTGTTTGTTGAATTACTTCCTCGTTTCTTCTTTCTAGACAGAACTAGCTTTGCAATTGTGTTGGGCCATTGGAGAACATGGCGGGGGTGGCAGATCTCACAACGATGCTGCTCGTGAACTTTTTGAGAGTTTAGAGTTGCTGTTGTATGAAAATCTTTTATCTAGGTATGCTTTATTGAAACTACCTTTACATTCTTGTTTCAAAACGTTCGACTTTTAATCGGCTGCATATATTTTGTTTGCTTCGAAAGTCGTTTAGGTTTGAGACAGGACTCGGGTGATAATGCCAGTGGTGAAAGCTTTAGAAAGTCGTCACAATCAAGGCTTCTTTGTTTTGTCATTACTGCAATTGCAAAACTCGCAACGTATCACCGTGAATTACTTCCGAGAGCGCGGGTCTCATTGGGAAAGGTCTATTTCTCAGAACTTAGCATGATCTATTAAAACATGAGCTTAAAGGAGCTCAAAGTCTTGTAATTGTGTCAAGTACAAAACAAAAGTTATTTTCTTTCATCTCTTCTTTCCTTTCTCTTTACCATATACTCCTAGATGCAGGGCAGGGGATTTGCAGGAAAGTTATTGACACTGCTGAACTAAATTTCATGAACAGGTAGCTCGATCTCGAACCTCCGATTCAAGGGTCTGGACTCGAGCTCACGATTATCTAGGACTACTGAGTGACCCTGGAATTTCTTTGTCCATTTTGGGGCCTTCGAAACCTGCCAGTGAAGATGCACATAACCCAGGCACTGTCGACTGGAGTCGAGGCGGAACTAAGATGGTTGCACACATTCCGTTTTACATTCTCTGCAAACAAGAAGGTCTTGGATCATCTATAGCCTCCTTTCATCATCTCTCTCTAATCTACATTACGGGTGTAATGAACAAAGCCCAGCGCTAGCAGATATTGTCTTCTTTAGGTTTTCCCTTTCGGGCTTTCCCAAGGTTTTTAAAACACGTCAGCTAGGGAGAGGTTTCCACACCCTTATAAAAAATATTCCATTCTTCTCCCCAACTGATTGTGGGATCTCACAATCTACCCCCTTCAAGGCCCAGCGTCCTCGCTGGCACTCGTTCCCTTCTTCTTATCCTTGTGTTTTCTTATGCAACGAATTTGATACATCGAAATCTCAGAGCTCCCGAATAGAAAATAAGATGAAAGATAAGGACGAAAGCATGAAAAAGAAAAAGAGTAACCATCACTACATTAATGAGTTTCATATTATGTTTACAGCATGGCTGCTTGAAGTTATATTCCATAAGTATCAATATCATGTAGACTAAGCCATACATATTATCTCTCTTTTGCAGGTCCTCCTTTCCATGATTTCTCATTTTCAGATATTCTTCCAAGGAGATGATGAACCTAGAGGTTGCACAGGGCAAAAATTTGTCAAATATGATCAGGCTTTTGGTTAAACCTGTAATCGACCTTTGCTCGTCTCAATATCGCCCCATCTACCAAACAATTCATCGCCGAGTAGGTCACCTTGAGGTACTGTGCTATGTAGTATTAATCAAATTTGATGCTTTCACATGAGAGAAATTGCTCTGAGTTTCTCCCCTTTGAACTTCATTCTCCCCACTGATCTTGGCTGTGGCCTTCACCATACAACTTGTTATCATACCGATGGCAGTTATTACTACTTCCTTGTTCAAAATTATGTTCTGAAAACCTCTTTGATTGAGGCAACAGTTTGAGCCATAATCCTATGCATGGAACCCATTGAATCAAAAGGGATTCTTTCAGTTATTGAATGATGAATGATGAGTGATGTTGAGGGCAACTGTTAGAATGCTTCCATCCATCAGCTACGTCTTCCTCCCCATTCATTCTTGTTCTATTTGGAAGGACTGGTCGGAGCCCGAACCACCGAGGTAACATGGAGGTTTTCCGGGATCATCTTTGGGTTTGTGGGGCATGACCCTAATGCCTGAGCTCCACAAGGGGAATTTGCATCTGTCGATTTTCTTTAGAACCATTCATATTACTGGAGAAAGATTTCTATTTAACCCACGACAACTTACCCTGAACAGGGTGACAAATCTTCGTTTGTGGAATGGGGAGGGAGAAATGAGAGTTTTCTCCGAATTGGCTATATGAGGACAATGAAAAGGATTATATTTTGGTCTCTACTCTCCTAAAGAATTTTGATTTAATTTTGATTTTTAGAAATGATGTTTATTGAACATTATATTTATATTTTTGCTTATGAAATATTATTGTTTTTATTACGATGTTTTATAATTTTTCCATTAAATAGTGATATTGAAATAAGTAGCAAAGATGAAATTGGGGAAGCCTTCCTCGTCCCATCTCCGCTCTCAAGACATCTATTCTCATATCAAAAGTCTATCCATTAGGTGCAAGAGTTGTATAAAGGTCATGTAGACGATGAATTAGGTCGCCAAAAACTATTGGAATGCTTTCAAATCCATTTACTTGAATGAGATAGAGGAGAATGTAAAGTCTTCGGTGTTTAATGGAAAAATTAGAGTGGGAAGTCTCGTAATTTTTTTAGTTTCGAGATAGTAGATAACCCAGCTACTGAAACTCTGGCTTAGAATAAGTATCCACATAGCTAGGACTACAGAAGAGACTTCATTCTACATCGAATAGTTGAGAACAAAGTGAAAGTGGGGGCGAATGAGCAATTTCCTTACTTTCTCATGAGTAACAATCAACCGACTTTATTAAGGCTCGGGTTGGCATCGATTTTTTATCACATATTTTATTTTGATAGAGAAATATCTATGGATATTTGGAGAAATATTCCCATCAATTTGATTTTGAATACCTTTTTTTTTTATCACGATAATCTTTTTTTTAATTATTTTCCAACAACAAAGCATCAAATTTGGCTTTTTCCATTTCATGATAGCTTTTTGGGTAAAATAAAAAAAAAAAAATGGTTTTACCTCTCGGTCGAAGATAAGTTTGCCCGGTAAAAAATTTGACACTAGATGACTCGAACATTTCCTTGCATCTTCCGAAATGGGCACCCTACTAATCTTAAAGCGTTTCTAAGAGCGAAGATTATCCTCACAGACTAACACGAGTCTTTTTAACATATTTGATTACTCGAGCATTATAATTTTTTTTACCATTTCATTTTATGAATTTAACGAGTCCTAGAGTTAGATGGCCAAAGCCGAACAAGGCCAAATAAGGTCGACTTTAATTTGGTAGCAATCAAGTTGTGACATTGAAGGAAAGTTGAATAAACTCAAAGTTCTAATATTTTGATGTCTAGGATTATCATATAATAGCATAATATATAGTTTTGTTTATACACCTTTTTGAAAATTGAGTATTAATAACCTTTTTTAGGAAAGCCCTCTTTTTCAAGCCAAATTCTTTGACATTTGGTGCCAAAGGTGCACTAATCATAATTATGCTTTAATTTTTTTAATTAATCCCTTTATTTATACGTTCTCGTGCTTATTTTCGTAGTAAAGATACCAATTCGAACATTTCTAAGCTCAAATGTTAATGATTTGATTAATTAACGGTTGAGTTTTGCTTATATTAATATTTGATAATGTGAGATCTCAGATCGGTTGGAGAGAGAAACGAAACATTCTTTACAAGAGGGTGGAAACCAATCGTAGCATATACGTTTTAAAACCGTGAGGTTGAATGTAATACGTAACGGGTCAAAGCGGATAATATCTGTTAGCGGTGGACTTGGGTTGTTACAAATAGTATAAGAGACAAACATCAAGTGGTGTGCCGGCAAGAATAGTGGGTCCCCAAGGGAGGTGGATTGTGAGATATCCTCTCGGTTGGAGAGGGGAACGAAACATTCTTTATAAAAGGGTGGAAACCGATCCTAGCATATGCGTTTTTAAATCGTGAGGTTGACTGTGATACGTAAGGGCCAAAGCGGACAATATCTGTTAGCAGTGGACTTGGGCTGTTACAAATAGTATAAGAGCCAAACACCAAGCAATGTGCCAGTAAGAATACTGGGTCCCGTGGATTGTGAGATCTCATATCGGTTGGAGAGGGGAACGAAACATTCCTTATAAGGGTATGGAAACCTCAGCTCAATTGGAGAAGGGAACCAAAACATTGCTTATAAGGTGTGAAACCTCTCCCTAGTAGGTGGATTATGAGATCTCACCTCGGTTGGAGAGGAGAACGAAACATTCCTTTATAAGGTGTGAAACCTCTCCCGTGTAGGTGGATTGTAAATCTCACCTCGATTGGAGAGGAGAACGAAACATTCCTTATAAGGATGTGGAAACCTCTTCTTAGTAAACGTGTTTTAAAACTGTAAAACCGTGAGGCTGACAGCGATACATAACGGGTCAAAGTTGACAATATCTACTAGTCGTGGAGATAATGACAATATCTAGTACTCATTTATGCCTTTTCAATGAAGTATTCTCTAAAAATAAAAATAAAGAAAAAATAGATTAGGTCGTTATCTCGAGCAAAAGTTTGTTTTTCTCGTTTTTTTTAATTCAACAAATGCATAGATCGGAATCGATCAAATATTCAACTTTAAAGAACGTAAAAAATGAATTTTTCATCGAATATGCTCGTATGGGCTCAAACACGAGTTCATCGATCATCCGAAAAAATAATTAATATTATATGTATATATTATGCCCATATAATAAAGAAAAAAGAGCCGGCAAGATAATATAGGAAGAGAAAATGTTTTGTTTTTGGGATCATGTTTGTGTTCGTGTATGCAACTAATAAAACCTACCTGACAATTGTTAGCAAACTCTAAGAATAATAATTGACCTCACGTGTTGGATTGAGCTGAGTTGTTCCCGTTCATAATTAAAGTATCGATAAAATGTCAAGAGATTATAAAATAAAAAATATTTAAATTAATAAAGAAACATTTACACGGTTTATTGATTCGTTCGGGAACTTGAATCATTGATCGGTTCTGTGTCTTTCTTTCTACGGTTCATATTAGCCTGTCCAGGGAAGATATCTGAGAGTAACCGACCATAATTTCATAGATGGGGTCTGATAGAACTCGATCGAGAAAAACAAGTGAAATAGGCATTTTCCATTCATATCAGCCTAACTTCTCCAGGGAAGATACCTGGGTGTAGCCGACCATGATTTCATAGATGGGGTCTGATAAAGCTCGACCGAGAAAAACAAGTGAAAGAGGTATTTTCCATTCATACTAGCCTAACTTCTCCAGGGAAGATACCTGGGTGTAGCCGACCATGATTTCATAGATGGAGTCTAATAGGGCTCGACCGAGAAAAACAAGTGATTCATACCTGCCTAACTTCTCCAGGGAAGATACTCAGGTGTAGTCGACCATGATTTCATAGATGGGTCTAATAAAGCTCGACCGAGAAAAGCAAGTGAAAGAGACATTTTCTATTCATATCAGCCTAACTTCTCCCGAGAAGATACCCAGGTGTAGCCGATCATGATTTCATAGATGGGGTCTAATAGAGCTCGACCGAGAAAAACAAGTGAAATAGGCATCTTCCATTCATATCGATTTAGGTTTTTCCGCATCGAGAATTCAAACAAGATTTAGCCTAATCTATTAAGGTCAAAATCTTACTAAAATTTTTTATTGATACGATATGTTTTTCCATTCATTCCTTTCAATATTAGTCCGGTCTTACAAACTCTATCGATAAGCTAAAATATTGATTATATTTATATTATATTTGTTTTCTTTTTATGTTTCATCGGTTTTTTTAACAATATTACGATATAATGAAAATGTCGATGTCGTAGTCTAATCGATAGCCATTGACCCATCTTTTGAGGAACAATTTTATAATGTTTTTATTGTTAGTTTGGATCCCACTAAGTAGTGTTTTGTATATCTAATGTAATTAATTCAATTCTTAAATCATTATCAATTACATTAATTCGATTGGATGAGTGAAATTATCGTCTCCGTCATTATTCAAAGTCGAGAAACTATTGAAGACGGTTTGAGAGTTAAGGTCAAGACTAGGGTCAAAGTCGGAAATAAAAATGTACGAAAATAACGCTTTGATATCTCTAGTTAGTTTGGTCGAAGACATCAAAAAATATTAAGAGACCTCACAATATTTAATAATTGTCAATTAATTTTGAGATCAACCCTCGTGTTTACCTAATTTGTTCTCCGAGCCCATAAAAATTAAACATGGAATCTCGAGATTTAGGTCTAAGGTAGCCTCGAGTCATATAAGTATTCAATCACATGTTCTTAAATCAAACCAAATCTTGTTAAATCTTCAAACTTAAGAATGTCATAAGAGAGATGGAAAGTCTAACGATTATAGATTAAAAAGTCAATGGAAATATATTTATAAAATTTTATATAAAGGGTTTGAAAACTTAAAAAAAAAATGGTTTCAATCCCGAGTAGAAAACAATTCACTGATTATAATAACTCAAGCCCACCGCTAATAGATATTGTCCGTTTTGGCTCGTTATGTATCTTCGTTCATCTCTCCAACTGATGCGGGATCTCATAGTTCACCTTCGTTGAGAACCCAACGTTCTCGCTAGCACACCGTCCGGTGTCTGGCTCGGATATCATTTGTAACAATTCAAGCCCACCGCTAACAGATATTGTCTGCTTTGATTTATTATGTATCACTATCAGTCTCGTGGTTCAAAAACGAGTCTGTTAGGAAGAGGTTTTCACACACATATAACACTTAGAAATTAGGGTTTTTCAAATCAAAGTAGACCTCGTGTAGTAGTTATCTGCTGTACTTTTTGCATTGAATATGTGTTGATTATTACGAACACATTAATACTCAAAAAGTTTTCTTTTTTTTTCTCTTTTCATTAAAAGTTAAATTTTTGAAAGACAATTTTGTCGTTGCATTTATTAGAATTGACATTTCGGTCGAAAGAGACATCTAAAACGAGAGTGAATTGTGAAGTCGTAACACTCTATGCCCAAGATTCGGATCGAAATTTAGAATACACTTGATGACATCGGCATTCTCTGACGTTCTTCGCATCCTTGACACAACTGGGTTGTGAGATTCCATATCGGTTAGAGAGGGGAACAAAACATTTTTTATAAAAGTGTGAAAATCTCTCCACAGCATACGCTTAACCTTGAGAGAAAACCCGAAAGAGAAAGCCCAAAAAGTACCATATCTACTAGCGGTGAGCTTAGGCAGTTACAGGGACCAAACTTAACTTTAGAGTTCCTATGATCGAATCATTAAAAAAATGTGCATCTTGCCTCATGATCACTCTGGTTCAGATGTGGTTTTGGTTCATTCATGTATCATTTCTTTACTTAGACGTGACATAAACAGAGATGTCCATTTAACCCAAAGCGCGAATGAGTCGGGAGAGATTTTTCCATGTTAGTTAAACAAGGCCCGGGACATAAATTATATTCTTTGTCTCTGTCCTCGCTCTGTCCCGCTCATTTTTTATATATAAATGAAAATTGAAATATGAGGTGAGGACAGGACTGAGAAGGGTTCTACTTGTCTCCAGTCGTCCCTTGGACATTTTTAAATATAAATAATAATTAAATTGAATATTGAATGTGCATTTATATAGGTTTGAATTTGTGGTGGTTGATTGTTTCTTATTGCCATCACAAATTTATTTTATTTTTGACTTTGGGTTACAAAATGATTGATGAGTAAAGTTTTGGCTTTAATATATTTTTCTATTTAATTTAACCACAAATTATTTAAAATATATATATATATATATATATATATATATATATATATATATATATATATATAT